CCGCCGCACTGACAGCTCGGTCTGCGGACCATGGAGACCGGCGCTGGCTCGCACCCGCTGCGCCTGTTCGTTTGCCTGATGCCACTTTCTCTCGCGTTGCTCTTGGGACCAGGGAGACCCGGGACCGCGGAGGAAGGTGAGGGGACTGGCGGCTGCTCTTGAAGCCTGAGATGCCAAAAGAGAGAGGGCTGAAGAGCGGGAGTGCTGGTGAAGGAGTCCTATGGAGGGACTGGAGTCTGTGTTGGGGTTTGAAGCAAGCGGGCGGCGGGAAGCAAAGAACAGGAGAGACAGCAAAAAAGGTGGCTAAGCAGTGGAGAAAAGAGAGGCACTGAGGAGCTCCGGGTCTGGAGACCTAGGAGGTGGGGAAGAAAGAGACCAGGAACCGTGGGAGCCAGAGGCGGCGGTCCAGGGGCCGTGAGACGGACAGGCTGAGCGATTGGAGGTGGGAGGTGTGGGGGCGGGGAGAAGAAGAGAGCAGAAGAGAAGGGGGATGCGGAGGTGAGATCGGGTATGGAGGGACAGGATGCAGCCCGAACAGCGGGGGCTCGGGGACCACTGTGCAGCCAGCTGGAGGTGGAGCGCTGGTGAGGCGGGGGGGTTGGGGGTGGGCGCCGGATCCGGGAGCTGCCCGACGTGCTGATCCGGGAGCTGTCCGCAGTGCTGAATTTGGAGCGTGGACTACCCGGAGCCGTCCGCGTTGCCGGGTACTAGAGCCCGGGTCTTGCCTCTGCTTCTGCATTTGGGGAGCTGTATGCTCAGTTGAATCCAGAGGCGTCATATCCAGGTGTTGAATCCTGAGGAGTTGGAATTTGAGGCTTTAATGGCGAGGTTGGTCGGGGCGCTGGATTTCTGACTCTTTCCAATATGCAATTTCCCATGTGCTGTCAGTTGTACTGAAATCCGCTGTTGGCAGTCCTGCCCACTGTCTCTGATGCCTTTGAGGCCAAACCTCTTAGAAGCCCTCACTTTGGAGCCCCATCCCCTTGCGTAAGCTCCAGATGAGTAATCCTACAAGATTTGTTGATGGCCTGGGCTCCTGTCTCTGAGCTGCTGCTGTGCTGTCCAAACCTCTGCTTTTCTGGGAGCTATACTGAGAGCAGAATTCAGACTGCTGAGCTGATGCCTCCTGGGGGAAAAATGACTCCAAGCCTCTCTGGTGCAGGAGGGGGTCATGGTTTTTATATATAAAAGGACCACTGACATTCTTTCAAAGGCAGGGGAGGTGACAGCCCCTGGGAAAGGGACTGGCTGAGGAAATGAGAGATTTTTATTTCCCCTGTTGCCAAGAGGATATCTTCACTTGGTTTTCCCCAGAGGCCCTAGAAGTCAAAGTAAAAAGGTTCAAGTCTCCTCCATCCCTGGTGACCCCAGACCTCAGAAGAGCCCCTGAGTCTGCATGAATTCTGGGCTATATACAGGAGTCCTCTGATACACTCACTTTCTCCCTCTTCTTGACACTTAGTTAAAATTCAGGAAACCTGGGAAGGCTGGGGAGGGTCACTAACAACACCCCCCCCCC